CCTGCCGCCGACCTCTTCACCGGTGCGACGGGGGCCCTCGGTCGTCCCCCGCCCCGTCCTGTCGGCCCCCTCCTGGGTTTCCCCCATTCCTGGAGTCCTCTCCGTCCCTTCCCGGGGCTGGCACCGTCCCCTGGGTCCCCTCCTGTCCCATCCCTTCCCGAGGGCGACGTGTTCCCGCTGTCCCTTGCTGGGTTCCCTCCTGGGTTTCCCCTGTCCTCACCTTCTGTCCCCAAGGCTGTCCTCATTCTCTGGCTGATCCTAAGCCTGTCCCTAGTCCAGCTCTCTTGTCCCCAGTCCTGTCCCAAGGTTGTTCCCTGTCTTTGGAGCTGACTCCAACCCTTATGCCCAAGCCAATTCCCTTGTCCCCAAAGCTGTTCCCCATCCCTATCCCCAACCCTGTCCCCAGGCCTGTTCCCTTGTCCTCATGCTGTTCCCCATCCCTGTCCCCAACCCTGTCCCCAGGCATCCTGCCCAACGTCTACAACCCCCCATCCGGTTTCTGCTGGGACCAGCTCTGCTCTGACCCCCCTGTGGTGGACGGGGACAGTGAGGAGAACAACGTGGACACCATCGTCACCTCCTTCCTGCAGATCGCAGCCAGCCAGGTGAACGGCCCTGGACACCTGGGCCCGTGCCCGGACGCCTGGGCCCTGGGTCCAGGGATGCTGACCAGTCCGTCCACAGGCCGAGCACTACCGCACCAACCACATCATCATGACGATGGGCTCCGACTTCCAGTACGAGAACGCCAACCTGTGGTTCAAGAACATGGACAAGCTGATCGCCCACGTCAACGCCCGGGTGAGCGGGGTCCCTTGCGTCACCTCCTCGTCCCCTGGGCCACCCCCGGTGCCCCACCTCTGCTCTGTCCCCAACATCTCACCCCATCCCTGTTTTCTCCAGCAAGCTAACGGCAGCCGTGTCCATGTCCTCTACTCCACCCCGTCCTGCTACCTCTGGGAGCTGCACCGGGCCAACCTGTCCTGGTGAGGCCGGGGGTGGAGGGAGAGCCCAGGCATCCGGGGGCCCCTGGGGAGAGGGGCGGGTGGGCACGGACACAGCCCGAGTGTCCCACAGGTCCCTGAAGACGGACGACTTCTTCCCCTACGCCGACGGTCCGCACCAGTTCTGGACGGGGTATTTCACCAGCCGACCGGCCTTCAAGCGCTACGAGCGGCTCAGCAACAACTTCCTGCAGGTGGGTCCCGGCCCCATGGCGTGGCCCCGATGCCAGTGGGCCTCTCCTTGACGCTGTCTTCTCCCCCCGGCAGATCTGCAACCAGCTGGAGGCCGTGACGGGGCCGGTGGCGCGGGAAGGGCCCTACGGGCCCGGGGACGGCTCTGTGCTCCGTAAGTCTTGGCACTCGAAGCGCTGGGGGGGCCGCTCCGAGCCTCCCTGACGCCCCCCTGCTCCCTG